TTGTTTTATTGCTCTGAGAGACAAAACAAGAGATTTTATTATTACCAAAGAGAAGTGACTTGTTTTTTAATGCTTCAACAACAGTAAGTCTTTTTCCGTTTTTGTCAGATATGATTTTACGATTCAATTGTGTTATTGATGTGACAAGCAAATAGGAGATACATTTAGTACTTGTTAAGAGAAATGGCTTGCTAATCCATCCTCCCCTTGGCACTCATACGACCTTATGCAGTTGTGAGCTCCATAAAACCTCTACTTAAACTTTTTTTTAAACTAATCTATCCTTTTATTACTTCTACAATTAAAATTCTTATTTGGTTACTTCAACAAGAGTAACATCTATGTGTACTTTTTCATTACTAAGAAGCTCACTCTTTCATTTTGAACATCTTCAAATGTTTCTCTTTCTTTTTTGTTTTAAAAGAATATTTGTGGGATAAGAACAATATGTGATTCATAATATGTAATGTCATCTGGGGTTGAAATCTTGCGTGTATTTTTGTGTTCCCCAAGTGAGCCACTTCTTTGGTTTCGGCCTGATGGATGCAGAGGCGATGGTGACCATAGCACGTAACTGGACGTCTGTCCCAGCCCAGCGTATTTGTGAGATACGTTCCACTAAACATTACAGGTACGTAAAGTGGTGAATATTTGTATCTTTTTCTTTTCGATCGCATCACACTTGAAGCCCGGTATCTATCGTAAACTAGGCCATCCTGCTCAGTTATTTTGTCGACCCGCACAGCTTCTCTTGTAGTGCCAATGGGGTTGGCCATGTTTCCTGTCTCAGGGCCTTGTGTGTTCCACTGTTTGGGCCACCTCTTCACACTGACATTTTTGTGATTGTACTAGTTTAAAAGTATATTTGTATATCTCTGCCTTATTCTGGTAATCAGAGTCTAAGGCATAATAATTAGAATCTTTGCTGTTGCACAGACGAGACTGAGTTTGATTCTGAAGGGGAGAAGTTATTTTATAGGATGTCTTTTTCTGTCAGCCGGGATGCTGTATCCTTCTGTGCCCAGATTGGCAGGGTGTAAATGGCCTTCCATATGGGTTACTGAAATTATGTCTGTAGAGGGGTAGGACATGAACAACAATAGTTTTGGTATTACTGTGTACTATATGTTTTTTTGCACTCAAAGTGAATGGATCAGGGGTTTCAAGGAAAGAAATCATGATAGTGTCATTTTTGTACTGAGGTTGTGAAAAGCTTTCAGTTTGATAGTGAGGTTCTGTTGTTCACAATGTCCATACTTTGGTTTCCTTGAGTACTTGTTTAATGCTGTTTCGAGGACAGGAGGTTTATATGAGATGTATGTACTTCGTTTTTGTTGAATATGAATGTTTTTGTCATGCCTAGTAAGTAGTTCACATGTTTCAAATCCTCCAATTAGGATAACTACTGATATTTATCAGGGTGTTGCATTAGTCTACATATAAAGTACTGAAAGACATGTCTTTTAATTCCTACTTATTTCTTTTTTTTCCAGCCAAGCCATCCCCATGAACGGTCGTATCCGAGTGACCCTGGACACGGACGGCTGTGTGGGGACGGTGAACCACGTCAAGTACCTGGAGCACGTCCAGGCCCGGATCACCATGACGTCGTCGCGGCGCGGAGAAATCCGCATCATTCTGGTGTCGCCCGCCGAGACCAAGTCCACCCTTCTGGCCAAAAGGACGCGCGACGCCTCCAGAGAGGGCTTCAACAACTGGGCTTTCATGACCACTCACAACTGGGGGGAGCACGCGGAGGGCAGGTGGATCCTGGAGATAGAGAACGGCGCCAGCTCTTGTGAGTAGCACACCTATGTTTTGTTTCTACTTCTTCTTCTTTGTGGATGTTTATGCGTTCGTTCGTTCATTTGTTCGTTCGTTCGTTTGTTGGTTGTTTTTTTTTAATGAATTATCTGCTGCATCCTATTTCTTGTTGCTCTTCTTGGGCTAGTCGTGTTGTACTGCTATTTTTAGAGTGCATTCAATATTGTAACTGTCGACCTTGTCAACTTGTTGGTGACAGGTCAACTGTACTGAAGCTGCTCATGTCGCAGTAGAACCTTACTAGGTTTTTAGAGCATGGCTACGGTTACAGGAATGATGGCAGCAGCCTGATGTCGCATTAGTGTCAGTCTGTACTACTGTACTGTGACAATGAAAAGTATCATTGTTTAATAACAAAAATTAGCCTTTCATTTCGTTTTAAATGTCTTTTAAATGCGTGCTTGTTTTGTGTGCTCACTTTTTTTACTGTGCTCATGTTTTTCTAGCAACTTTTAACTAATACGCCCAGTCTCTGGCACGTGTATCTGGCCAAGACTTTAGGGTAGTTGCATGACACGTATACTGACCACACTGTCGTAAAGTGACCACACGGCCGGAGGCCTGGTGTACTGCTGTAGGTGGCAGCCAGTGAGGACAGCCAGACTGTGCATGTGTTGCTGGAATGTTCATAACACTAGGAATTTGATGCTCCATGTTTGATGCAAATCGCTCGGTTACTGTGTGACTTCTTTAACTCATTTCATTTGCTGACTGTTTCAATTTTTTAAGCTGAATTCATTGTGTTTTAAAAAATGAATAAATAATACCTGTGAAATGGAGTGCTTAGTGTAACTAGTAATTCAAGATGCCTTAGAAGTTCTCTGAAGAAATCTTTTCGAAGTAAACTCAGTTTTCTAATATACAACTTTCCTCTGAATATTAATTTGTAAGTTGGGAGAATCCTAAGAATCTCTTAGACAGTGTCATCAGGATATGGCATCCCAAGTTGCTGGGGCATTTTGCATTCTTTGGAGATGCAAGAGTTCACAGTAGCATTGTGCACCAGTGTCAAAAAGGTGTTGTTGAATAAAACATCTTTTTGCATGCAGCATGATGTGAAAATTACTGATTTGTCTCCTGAGCTCTCATTGAACCTCTTACATCACAACGGTCATCTGATGGATTCTGTTCAAGGAAAGGAAATTTTGTTTACAAACGGCACGAGAAATGGAATTTATGATTGTGTTGGTACGCCTTAGAATAACTAACAGTGAGACTGAAGAGAAGCTTGTGACCATTCCTTGAAAATATAGTACAAATCAATGAGATTACCGGAAATCAAACGGCCTTTGTACTCCGACATGCGTAATGAACATACACCGAGTTAACCATTTCATGACACAGGCCTGTTCACATGTTGCCATTTTATTTCTAATATTTTCTTAATTTCGTTCTCTTGTGCATGGAATGCTTGTTTAACAGGAAATTTTTTTCAGCGAATGTGTTTATAAATTTATTTCAATCGCAATAACAGCTTGTTTGATTCTGAAATGTGACCTCTCTCAGATTGTATGTGAAATGGAGACGGTTAAGTATGAATGTTGGGTTGGGATGAAAGAAGAGTTACTGCTGTAGAGATGGAGAAGGCCATATTGAATTTCAGCGTTTAATGAGGAATTAGGTTGCCAACATTAATTTTTCTTTTTATTCATCACACAAGCTTGCTCACAGTTGATTTGGAATAAATGCCACTTGTGCTTTTGTCTTAAATGACTAAAGAGCTCGTCAAATAAACAAAAACACATTCAACATTATTCTGAATCAGATGCAATAAACCTTCTTTTTGTCTGTTTTGTTTTCAATTTACTCTTTGCAATCACACCAAAAATCTTAAAATCTTCAAATGAAAATGACCAAGCGTCTTTGTGAATACTCTTAGCAATTGGAAAAAGAATTAGAAAAAGACTGAAGTTTCGATGCATTGTTCTCTTTTCTACAATGTGATGTCACAGGAATATTTATTACCAAAGAAATTGAAGCTTTTGTAGCTTCTGTTAATAATTCTGGTTGACAGTGTATTTGCATCTTTACTCAAAAATGGCACTTAACAATATAAGATAATTAGTCATAGTTGAAGGAGGGAAGTAAGAGAGCCAGATGTACGCTTTGTCGGACTAGCCCCAAAGATAGTGTTTTCATATCTCTTTCATTTTGGATGTGTGTGTGTGTTTCTGTGCGTGACCGGGTTTGGTTTCTTTTCAAGATGGGTTTTTAGTTTGGTTTTTGTAAGTGTTGTTACAGTTGACAAGTAGCAAATTCGCCTTCCATCAGACGTCTAGCTACTGTTGTGTGATGCAGTATTACTTTAAGTTTTATCATTTTTTCAAACCTTGTTTTTTGCTTGTAAACAACTATGTAGTATCTAATCTTATCGTAGCATTCACTACGTCAGGGATGTGTGTCACATTCCTCAGTTAGTTTTGGATTGATCCATAGATCATCACCCACATATTGGAAATCTAGAAATTGAGAAGAGTATTGATTTGTTCATCATTTGGTTTAAGCATGATGTGCGAGGGAAGAATGAAGAGGACATGCAGGAAATGAGTTTAACAGACTCATTACCTTTCTTTTTTGTCAATAGTGAATAAAGAAATTTATGACTCTCATAATAGTTGCCTTCAGTTTGTTCTAAAAAGTCTTCTGTGAAATTCTATGTAAGTGACATCTTTTCATGGCAAATATTCAAGTAGGACGGAAAGAGACAGTTCAGATAACATACATAAATAGAGGAAAAGGGAATGTCAACGTGCAAGTGAGAACTGTTGCTTGTTATTGGTTTTCAACAAGAATGAACCTAAAATTTCCGCTTTTACTTCAGAATGCTTGACGAGACTTTGGTTTGCAGCCCTTTGCTATGTAACAAATGCCAGTCGAATTGTTTGACATCTCAGTTTGAGTCAGTGCTCCAACATTTCTCAGGAGCAGATTTTTAAGCTTTTTGAGAGCAACTTGATTAATTACTTCTGTCAGAGAAGTGGAACGTGATCGCTGATTCTTATTTTTGTTATTTAACTAGTTTCTGCCTTTCCTCTGTCAATTGACAAAGCAGTGTTCTTAGCATGCTTGAACTTTGTGCCTTGGGTTTGCACCCCTCTCAGAGTCTTTTCGATGTTGTGCAGTAGCTTGCGGTAAGTAGTCCTATGTGTGTGTGCGTGTGTTTTACTTGTTTCAGTTGTGAGTTGCTTTGTGACCTCACTAAAACTTTATTCTTTCTGTTAAGCATGTTTCAAATTTTTCCAAATTTTTACATCTCTAGCAGTGTTGCTACATTTATTAACATTTTGTTCAGATTAAAGTAAATGTTGAAAGACTGATAAGGCCCCCAACCACCCCCCACCCCCCTTGCTGGACTTTTGTAACTTCAACAAAAATGTTTCTCCATGGTATTATTCTCTAGCAATTGTTGGGGAGTTGGTTTTATTGACTGCTCCAGAATTCCTTGGTAAATGTAAATGAATGCAGTAAAACCCAAATTTGAAAAATATGTCACGTCAACGAGGGCTGACCTTTTTGTTTAACATTAAGTCGGGTTGCAATTTTATAAATATTGAAGAGATCCCAATATTATAGATGTTCCTAACTTAGTATTATAAATCTTCATAGAAAAAAGTTTTTTTACACAAAGTTTGAGACGGTAATGTCCTCGGCATCAGAGCATGGGCTACAAACAGTAGTTGGTTTTTTTTTCATTACATTTCTTTTCTTTCTTCCGGATCTTTCAATGCTTGTCTGTCTGGCATGTGTGATACCTGAATGTTTGTGGTACTTTTATATATGATGCAAGATTTGAAAAGTGTTCTTTTCATAATGATTTAGAGTAATTGAAATCGAAATTTATGTCTAATTTGATGTCAGAAAAAAGTTATCTTTTATTCAAAATTATCAGAGAAACCTCTATATGGTTCATTGCAAAGGGAACATGAAAGTTAACTGGTTTATCGTTTTTTGGAGAGATTTATATCAAAGTCTTTCATAATATTTCTGTAAATACTTTGAATATAGGTAGCTATCAAGGAAGTCATAGTGAATCACAACCAAGTTGTTATGGTTATTATGACTTTGATATCGTGAGATAATGTATTTGTCAAATGATAATTTATATAGACATACAATAATGTATTGTAGTGTAAGTTATTGTAACACCATGATGCACTGTGAAGTGGTAATACAAAGTCTTGTGGTAATGTGTAGTGGTGAGTGATATATTGTGTCCATGTTGTGTTGATGGCACTGAGTAGATATTCCCCCATGTCATGTGAGCTCTGTAATTCTGTGACTGACTGGCGTTTGTGCTTCTCTCTTGTCTCTTGTTTTCCAGTTCATCCCGTGCGACTGCGAGACTGGGTGCTGGTTCTCTACGGCACAGATTCCATCCCGCGCAAGAGCCAAACCTTCCCACGAAGCCCCAAGAACGGCCCTACGAGGCGGCCAAACATTGTCTATCCCGACCCCTTCGTTCCCATGGATCCCTACGGCTACAACACCTATAGGCCTCCCCCTCCCATCAAAACCACCACCACCACAACTACAACAACCACCACAACCACCACCACGCCCAAGCGTAGCCCGTTCTACGCTTGGTCAGGGCAACAGCACGTTGGACAACGCCACGGGTCTTCTTCCTCTTCTTCTTCTTCCTCCTCCTCTTTCTACTCCCCATCGGCCACCAACCCGCGTAAGAACTACCATTTTAACAACTGGAACCCCTACTATGCCTCGAACTTTAACCGTGCACACCAGACCTCTAGTACTTACCACCCCTACAACTCCAACCTAAACCACCAACACCACCACCCCGAGCATACGTGTGTGTATGAAACCCTTGCCAAAAAGTCCAACATGTCTGCCATTCAGTACGTGCGCAAGAAGCGCCCCCGACTAACTGCAGGCAAGCAAGCTTATTAACATATTAACGTCCTTCACCTCTCCCGTCTGCTTGATGTCGTCACTGCTTTCAGTTGTGTCTTAGTGCGTGTACCTTCTCCTTGTACCTCTGTTGTCATTGGTTGAGTTCCTCTTGGGCATTCTGTGCTTACCATATATATATAAATGTCACCTGAAAAAAAAACAAATGGCATGTTACACTAGCATGCTTCTTGATGTGCCATCTACCTTGCCAGCCTACCAGCCTGAAAAGTGGAACTGTAGAAGATGATACCTCTCCACCTACTTTATTTGATTTTTTCATCTTTTGCTCTCTCTCTCTCTCCTTTCTTGACTCTTCAACTCTTGTCTCAATAGGAGACGCCTTACCTAATTTAATTTTGCATCGTGCATGCAGGCTTTTCAATGATGCAAATCCTGGACTTTAAAGTTGATTTTCTTAAAGTTAAGTTGTCATTGATTTCTGAGGAAGGGACATACTGCAGCTAAAAGTGCGTGAGGTAGTTAAAAAGATATGACTAGGCTATTTATTATTATGCATGGACGCAGACTGTAGTTAAGAGCTGTTTGTTGCTCAAGTACGTATTATTAAGGTTAGTGAAGGTTTTAATTTTGGTAGAGGTTTTACGGCGCTCGCAACTGCATAAGGTCATATGAGCGCCAGAAGATTAGAGGTGTTACAAGAGAGTAACAAACATAAAAAAGAATAAGGGAAGATAAGGACGATAGATGTTTGATAGGACTGAAGAAGCAAACCACACCAGAGCACCCGCCAACCACCCTCTGTGAAGGTTTGATACGTTCCTGCCTAATATGCTAGCTTTTCTGGTCTTTCCTCAACAGATGAATCAATCATTTTGAATTTTATTTGGGTTTACAGGCATGGTTTCTAAACAAGATGTGTTGTCAAACTTTTCTGGTTTGAATCATTTTTTAAGTGTGTGTTGTTTGTCTCAAAGAGTATTGTTTTTCTTGCGCTCGCTGTTTTCTTCTTTTGTTTTCTTTCCATTCTCTTCCTTGTCTCTCTTTAGCACTCTTTTTCATCAACATTTGTTATGTTACCAGTCGAATGAAGAGTCTTTTTCTTTTGGTCATAATTTTTGTGTCTAAGTTAAAGCTGGTCTTTTCTGCTTCATCTTTTAGTTCACCTTCAATATCGTCTTACACAAAAAAAAAATCATTCAATTTTTTTTTTCCTTTATGTTTCACCCTGGTTTGTTACCATTCTATTTTTAAAAAACAAAAAAACTTTTAAGTTTTTACCCAGTGATCATTATTTCAGGACAGTTTCATCGTTTGCTCAACCTTTCACATTTTTGTGCATGACAGTGACAATGTTTTCCTTTCAGTAATTTTGCAATAAAAATAAAGTATGTTTTCTCAACTTGTTGAAGTTTTCTCTCTTTCTTTCTTCATTATTTTTGCGCGACAAAAGTTTTATGTATTACCATGAGGATAACCTTGTGAGTGGGACAGGTGTTGTGAAACCAAATCCGTGTCACCTGTCCTTGTATGATCATTGTGCCTCTTTGATTGTATCTTTTCCGCCCGAGTACACGCTGTTATTGTACGATATTGTAAGTAATTTTATCCGTTTTCATGCTTTGATTTTATTTGTCAAAATTAGAAGCCATTGTTGTGGACTTTTGTTTTATATATATATATATATATATATGCTTATTGTGTTTCAGATTTCTTTCTGTAGGTTCTGTGCTTTTGTTGTTCTTTGTAGAAATGTTGCAGTCTCTAGCTTGATGTTTGTTTGTTTTTTCTTTTTGTGTGTGTCTCTGTTTGTTGATGTAGCTGTTCAGGATAGATATCTTCATTTGCAGTGTTCTCAATATTCTAGTATGATAGAATAACTTCTATTTTTACTTTGGAGCAATCTCCTTTTCAATCCCGTCTATGTTTAATGGAAGCTGTAAGAAAAGGTGTAAAACAGCAGTGGTAAAGAAGGGTGTTCCCTCTTTTCAAGTGGATCCTAAAGTTGAAGACCTTTGAACAAGCTGATCACGTTTTAGACTCTTGTTTAAAATGCCATCTTGAGAATGATAAGGTTACGATTTTATTTCTAACTTTCTGGCTCAAGCGGAAGATTGCTGTAGTTTTATAAATTACAAATAACCAAAAACACAAAAAAAAACCTCAAGGAAATGTGAGTTTATATATATGGAATTTTTGCTGGCCAAAGAACTGAGTAAACGGAGTTACCCTGGGGTGTCTTGTCCTCTTCTCTTTGATAGTGGAAATTCCAGAAATGAAATTCTGTTGTGTTTCTGAACATCTTAGTTGTTAGAATAGTTAACATGCCTGTCTTTGTTGGGGGTGGGGTGGGGTGGTTTGTTTTGTTTGTTTTAATTTTTTTTGCTTCAATAACAATCGCTTTGACGGCTAACCTTCCCTTTCCACCATTACCCTCCCTCCCACCTACCCCTCCATCTGTGTTTTTTTAGCCGAGCTGAAGGAGTGGACGCTGGTGATGATGGGCACGCCTCACCACCACATGCGGCGCAACAGCACGCGCTCGGGCAACCGACCGCACAAAGGTCGCTCCTTCTCCTGTGCCGGGGTCACCTCCAACGGCATCTGCATAGGTCGGTGCCTGCTTCTTATCTACTTATGGCACTTTCTCTAGCCCTTTTTTGTCTCGCTGTACATTCCGTTTTGCCTCTAGAATCAAAGTATTTTTGGGGTGTTTTTTAAAACTTTTTTTACTTTACACGTTTGGCGGGTGGTGATGACCTGAAAAACTAGTTCGTACAATTTTTCATGAAAGGGCATTCCTAAAGAAATAATTTCTCAAATGCGTCTTGTGGTGATCATACAGGAAACACTTGTCTCTGCCATAGGTGTGATGATGGATTCAAGTCAAATTTATTTTTAAAATTTATTCTGGTCACTCAGAAATGTTATTCATTTTGTGATAATTATATTTGGTGGCAACTAAAAGTTTCTGTGATTTGAGGCCATCTACCAGTGAGAATATGTCTTTCAATTTCCTTTGATTAAATTTTTGAATTTTAAACTTTTTGTATTAATTCAAGGATGAAGATGAAAATCTAGAGGTTTATTTCCCTTTATTAAATTTTTGCAATTTAAACTGTTAGTATTAATTTAAGGATGAAGATAAAAGTCAAGAGGTTTATTTCCATATTTCTGAGCCATTTGACATTTGGTGCCTGTTTCTCGGACAATATTTATGATATCTATGAGGGTTTTTGTAGTGTGCCCCTGCTGATTTTTATATCAAATACATGTAGCATGGTGCTTAAATATTTGGACTATACAGTAAAAAATCATAATTCCAAATGGTTTAATTCTGCGAAAAAGACAAATTTAAGTGCAAAATCTTTTTTAAATGGCTGTTTAACTTCTTTATGTAGTGCTCATAGGGTACTCATACAAAGTTTGATATGAACTGGATGAATGCTTTTGGAAAAATTGACGTAAATGAGTTTTAAAAAATGGAACCAAACGAAATTGCCACACAATGACGTAGTTAAACAAAGAAGAGGTAGACTTTGGAAACATCATTTTTTTAAACCAAATAAGATGTTCTTGGATGCATAATAAGTATGGGTGTGTGCTGGTGAAGTAGCTGAAAGATAATATTAATTTCTAAAACGTTGGCCTGAAATTGTTTACGGCTGGCTATACTCTCTTGTAGATGGCCTTAACATTGGGTTGTCCTGTACAGTGTGCAATTTCATTTTATACATTGTGCTCATGTCAGCTTTGCTGTTACTATAGCCTGCTGACAATCATCATTTTTGTATACTTTTTTTTTTCAAGTAGTTGTCCCATGCCCACCATCATGACCCGCTTCATGGGTAGGGTTTTTTGGGGGGGTTTTTGTGGGTTTTTTGTTTTTTTTAAAGCTGGCAGCTATGTTTTTCAGCAAATCTTTTTTTAAATCAACATGATCTATGTGTGGTGAAGTAAATATCTGATCTTCATATCACAAGAGGGCGATATTCTCTCATACTGTTGGAGTAAAAACTCTTTATGGACATCTCATGATATAACCCTCGCTGATATATTGTCTGCTACTTTTTCACAATGCTGAAATAACAGAAAGCCTATGATGCCTTCTTAGTTCTATTTAGATTGAAATTATTTTTTTCATTTTTTAAAATGTAATTGTCTTAAAGTCTGTATAGCTCTATGTTTTAGATGTTATTTATTTGAAAACAATGACGGGTATAACTGAAATGTGATATCATAGATCAAGCTCAAATGTCATTAAAATTTTGCTGATGTTGAAACCAATTTCTGCTCTCTTTTGAAATCCATCCATTTTGCCTTTAACACTTTTCCGTCACATCTCGCTGATCGGCAAGAACGCTAAACTTCTTCTCCCTTCACAAAACGCCGATCGGTGATGTTTACCACCGAGTTTCTTTGGATTTCCTCCCAAATGCTTGTGATGGCAAAGATTTTTACTATATGAGCCTTGTGATGGCAGAGTGTTAATAAGAACTGGTGTTTTGGTCTTTAGAGGGCGCTACAATTTCCCCTGTCTTCTCTGACCCGAGTCTGTCATCTTGCTGTTGGCATAACTATCTTTATGTCATCTTTTACTATTTTTTTTAAAATGTCAGACAATGTCCACCTTGTTTCGTTGTTTTACTTTA